CTCAAGCAAGCAAGCAGAGTCTTCATTTTCACAATCATATCAAGCTTAATTTATCATTAGAAATATTCACAAATAACAACCACAAATAATCAAATGCTGTTAACTATGCCTTCTCGCATCACTTATTATGTAACAACAACATATAGTATAATAATCCACATCTGATGATTACTCACAAGATTTTTCAGCATTGACTTATATTGGGGAGGGGAGCATATTAGAAAATTCATTTTTTTTAGCAAGAAGTGTGTAGACTCAACTGAATGGGAACCATGTTTGATGTGCTATGTTGCCCATTTAAAGTTCCCAGAAATATGATCTTGTAAATACTGCTGAAGGACAAATGTTTTTAATGAGGTCTCTATTTTAGTTTTTACAATGTCATGATATAACTGATWAGAGTGATTTTGCTTAACGCATGAAGCAAAAGTTACTAGTCAATGTCTAATATAAAAATCGGCACAAAAGAAAACAATAACTATGGCACATTAACTAATTCACGGGTAAAGTAGCACTACCCYAACACAATTGAATGTTACAGAAACCCATTTGGGAATCAAATTTTAAGATGTCTATTAATATTGAATATGGAAAATTTCAATCTATTGGTGCAATAAACAAAAGTCAAGGTGTCTTGTTGTGCACTAGTCAATGGACTACTTCGATGATACGACGCCATCTTGCYAGGGGGCAAATCAAAATGAAAATGACGGAAAATATATAAAGTTTTGTATGTTTGTCTTTCTTTTATGGCTAGGGTGATTGATGTGCCGTCTTAAATTATCTTTTCTGTTAATATCAATCGACGCCATTACTGTAACAAGGCTTTAATTCCCCCGGACGCCCCATAATAATATGAGAACTAAGTTGGCCGCCTTATCGTCGAAGTAGTCCATTGAAACCCCCTCACCCAGACCCCCGGGACAGGGCTGGGAATTGAACATTCATGTAGTATTGGATTTTCAGCACTTTTCCCGGGTCCCCGGGGAAAGATTTACTGTTCAAATTATTGAAGTTGTTTTTCTGTTAAAATTGTTAGAGTGCTGAACGCGTATACCCTGTACACCCGTGCATTAACTTTATTAGTAAATGTGCGTTAAATCCCCGGTCTCGCCAAGTTAATTCCCCACCCTCTCCCGGGGATCGGGGTTTTTAATTGAATAGTGCATTGCACTATTAAAAATAAAAACAAAAAATTATAATTTAAAATCGAGCGCACGCAGTACTAACAAGGTACCCACATTTCTGATCACTTGCAAGGTCAATGATTAATAGTAAAGACTTCAAGCGTTTATTGGAACAGCGGTTTTCAAGGCAAACGCGCTACAAGGCTAATCTCGAGACACGAGGRAAACCATGGTGACGATGATGAAGGATTTACGTGAGCATCTATTATTTTGTCGAGCATGCGCAGTAAGAATCAGGATAGGGCTCTTGGGTCCAGAGTGCTTGTTACACTTGAAAATATTTCAGCATGGTCGAACATTGTCACTTGTTATGTTATTGTGGTCATGGTGTTTTGTCTCATTACTTCAAATGCAGTGGAATATATATACAATCACATGACTTGTTAGATCATATATTGCAGACCTATTTCTAGTGACAGTTCTGACACTTTGGGTGACATTTCTTGCCTCCTACTCTGCATTTACAGCCTCCAGAGATATCGCCAACACCCTGTAAGTCAATACCAACATGATAGTTTGATTGATTATGAATACCTTAATACTGATTACGATAAGTTGCTAATGATGACCAAGATAATAACGATTTAGATGCATTCACACTAGGTTAACAAAATGTGTTTATTTGTCCCTATCGATATTTCTAATACACCATAATTCGTAACAAACCATGCCTTATATTGTAAATCGCTTTCGCACTTGAACGTAAACGTCAACCATTCGTTTTGTCTTTGGAGACACGAAAGATGCCAAACTTGTCAGTTTTAATGTTTGCCCCAGGTTTGACCGAGTACAATTTGGGATTTCATTGTACTCCGCTTGTCCAATCAGTGTCGAGTAATTTTGTAGAGTGTATTATAATGGTAAAAAATAACCTAGTGCGAATGCAACTTGTAGACATAATGGAACAAACCTTTAAAGATCTAATTTCAACTTGAAGTTCCTAATACATTACGTTTTATAGTTTTGCTTTGCTAATTATTGTTCAATGAGAATAATAAGTTATGTGTTACCTGTGGACCCCATCGAGGACCCCGCGTCGCCCAACAAATCTCCAATCTACACATGCTACACCTCATCCAATCACAGCCATCCTTCTTCAGAAGAATAATCTCGCATTGCGGACATTTCATGGCATCACCTTTAGTRATCATGTTCTAGAATTAACAACAAGCAAAAGTTAGATACTAAGATGCTATTTCTTGAAGCATAAAAATACAATAGGAGGGGGAGGGGGACGGGAGTTGCTGCAGTAAAGAACAAAACAAGATGGCGTTGTCAATGAAGGTAACTATTTTTTGTTATAGTTTTCCGTAGGTAAATTGTAAAGTGCGCTGAATTGAACATCATAAATGGCCATAATAGACCTTTTTCGAGATCCGAATTACCGCTGTGTTCATTGACTAYAGACTCATTTACTCAGGGTTAGCCTCGTATTAGTGTCTAAATATTCATAAGTTCAACTGAGTAAAGTAAAGAATAATGGCTGATACGAGGAGTGATTCAATCAACCAAAAAAGAATCAAACATAAATGGCCATCGTTCATTCACCCTCATGTTCGTTATTGTTGATACAAACATACTTGGCCCAACGAAGTACCTCGTTTTCGAAGGGTGTCCATGCCAATACCTTATTGCTTAACATTACTCACTTCTAAAAACTGTTGTGTTTGTTGTGCTGCTTTGTCATTTTGTGCTCTTCTCTTCAAGTCATCTTGATATTCTTTACAGTTCATTTCAGGAAAATGTTGTGCTTTACAAGTCAGGCAGTTTTGTTTACCACAGACAGGACAKTGAAAGATGTTCAAGTTGTCTTCATAGATACACCATCCGGGACAATTAGGTGTTTTGCAGTGGAAGCTGTTTGCAGCTTGACTTTCTGCTGTTGCTAGGCTACGGTTGAGAAATTTATCGAAGTCTTCAGGAGATAAAAGCTAAGGGGAAAAAATATATTGAAAGTTTTGATTTAACAATGTGTAACTTAAGGAGATCAATAAACGGTACATGGATCTTTACAAGGTAAAGAATCGGCTGAAGTGCATTATATTATTTTTTTGGAAAAAGGTAAAACAAAAACTATATTTAATGGGCCGACGATGCGTACTTTATTATTTATCTCCATCTTTTTTTTTTTTTTATAAAGAGTATTCAGTGCTGAATCTGCACTGATTAGACGCGGAAAACCTTATGAGCGAACCGTAGACCTCTAGTTCCGTAAACCGCGATAGCCAACAGAGCTTCGTCTGCTCTTAAATGCGCAATGGGTCGATTAGGTTGTAAAGGCCTTGAAATTAAGCAAGGTAAAATCACTCTAGCTAGCACCGCTTACAACAAATTCAATGGTTAAATAAAATCTCTCTAATACGATTGTCTATTACTTTATTTGATAGTTTAATACTTACAGATTTAATCTCCTGAGCTGTAATAAGAGAGTGGCAAGCAAATCTGTCATCTTGGTATGGACACTGGACCTCYGGATCGGTACAGTTACGTATGTGTTCCCTTARACATTCCCTAGAGATAAACACAATTATATATTAGACAACCAGAACAAATAAAATGAGATACTATTCATTTTCCTTTCCCTTGAAAGGTTTCGAAAGCTCGTCGGAAACGAWGCGGCATCTCGATTGAGGGATTCCCGCGGGAAACTTAAAAAAGCAGATTAAAACATCCTGCTGTAAGGGTCTAATAATCTTCTTCAGTCTTTTAATTTGTCACCCTTTAGTTTTCGTGCCTATCTATTCTCACAGGCAAATTGYATTTGTTTATTCGGTCGGTCATTCAGTCCGCTGTTCGTTTGTCGGTCGTCGGGTCAGAGACCTTTAGCGCGCAAGTACCGCAAACAGTTCGACATCAGTCGTTTTCCGTCAAATTTTTGGGGATTAGCAAGGCGTCACAACAAAGTTGTTGCTGGAAGAGCCGCCACTGATGGGTTGCAAGCATTCTCAAGAGAGTTAAAAGACAAGAACATGGCGGCCATTGTGGTACCGTTTACAATGGATGCTAATGAGAAATCGTTTGTTAAATGGTACCAACATGGCCGCGATGACGTAACGTCCAAACGAAGAATAATGAATTTTATTGATGATGAGTGTTTCTCTGTGTTTGCGGCCTGTTTCTGGTCCTGATCCCTAGCGGTTATCGGTAAACCCGATGATAAAGGTCTCCATTTTATTCTTTCACGGACCAATCACAATGCTCAAAAAGGCGGCCTCGTTTCCCGGTCCGACTAAGGGAAACGAGCCGCTCTGGGTACGAGATTAACAATGAGCCGTTTGAATGATGACGTCATTTTACCAAAAAGGTTCGCGAATTTTCTTTCTTCGAATTTGCATGTATTTTGCTTTTTCATTTATCATTGTAGTTTGTATTTATAGTAAGACAGTTGTTGCTAATTAACTGAACAAAAGAAWGTGTGCAAGGAATTCTGGAATTCGTGTAGTTCATGACACCATAATGCAAATAATCTGATAGAGCGACTTACCTACAAAAACAGTGTAAACATTCTCTAAGTACCACTCCCTCTCCCGGTAACACTGTCGTGAAGCAAATCGCGCAGTCAAACTCCTCGGTATTTTGTATAAGATTTTGTTGCGCTGTTTGTACTAACTGTTGGAAGTTCATCTCACGTGCGACAGCCTGCTCCTGTTC